AATGAAGGTCACCTGTCAACTTAGAGTAGTGCCTGAAGATTACTCCGCGCAGCTATAAACGACTGTTAAATGGAATGATGAATTGTTGAAGGATTTTGAAAACGGAAAAAATGATGGTCATGCCGGCCCAGCATCCTCGGCCCGAAGTGGATAACAACGTTGAGAGCTAGGGTAAGGATTTTGGTGGTTTTTTTGCAGGGGGGGGGGGGAATGGCTCACTGGAAAACTTCAAAATTACAAATTCATTTTATGAACTTTATTTTCTCAGCATGCCACAATCAAAAAGCCCAGACTACCATGTTCAAATTTTGAAAGTATTTTGAAACCACGTACTCCATCCACAGCCTCTGCGCATCCTCAGTCTCTCGCAAATGGCACAGGGATTTCTCGTAAGCCTCCGAAGCCCCGGTGTCATCTGCCGTCAGCTCCTGCAGTAGGCAGTAATTCAACCACAGGTGCCGGGATTGCGCTCGTATAACCTCTGAAACGATCCCCGGACGGAGCTTTGGTGGGGTGTAGTCAAAGGGCAGGCCCTGCCCGAGTAGAGAGCTGACAGGAACAGAGAGGCATTATGGGAATATGCACTTCACGATACAGTGTGTTTACACTGCAATTGCCCCTGCTATAGACTGACACAGACAAACCTGTTAATGTATCACTATTCCATTGTCACATCAAATGTAGTCTATCAAAATTAACCCTCGCATAATCTTGATTTCCATGACTTTTCCATAACTTTTCCCTGACAACACGATTCCGGGACACCAAATAAAAAATATTATCCGTGACTTATCCATGACTTTCCAGGACAACTTTTTTTCCAGAATTTTTTGGATTTTCCCTGACCGTGGGAATCCTGAGTCTATTGCTAAATAGGTTCTTTAGCCTTCGGGAAAGATTCTGCTAGGATCGAAACGTCTGGTCCTCCTTTATTTGATATTGCTAACGTGCATTCCATATGAACTAAATGGTGGTTAATATGGTCCTTCAAGCATGCAACTTGGACTTTGACCGAAAAAACAAGGAAATTCCAGTCTTTAAAAGACTCTGTAGAAAGTTTTTCAATTTTTTTTCAATGAGCGCGAAGTGAAACACAAGGAAATCAGCTGATCCGAGGAAAAGTTGCATGGCTGTATTTAACATCTCTGTCCAACCCTGTCCAACGCTGTCCTGACCTCTTTTTAGGCAATCATTGACGGGTACAAAACTTACCAGTAAAGCCCGCGTATCTGCTCCACGCTCTCGTAGGCCGACCTATCCGGTATGCTGTGGAAGGCAAACGCGCATAGCTTGAGTGCAGTGATGGCAGCCTTGGGGCAAGCCGGCAGCGCAAACATGGCCGCCATGTTGTACAACGCCGCGCTCCTCGGGCAACTCTTCAAGGCATTCTTGATGGCCTGCGTCAAAAGGACACCAACAAAACATTTGGAAAAACAGGATCTGCTCGGACTTTTTTTTAGTTTTAATCAAAAAGGGGATCAAATGAAAAGAGCATTTTACAATTTACGGGATGCAATGTCTCCCACAAAAAGCAACTTCCAGACTAGAAACAATATTTACTTGAACTCTCCTATTGGTCATCACAATAATAGAAAAAATTTACAAATCTACTGCACATTTTTGACCCTGTGACAGACATCTTTTGACTTCAACGTCACTTGAATTTCAATTGATAGATTCTCCTAACAGCAACGCTATGCCGTAGACTATTGTACAAGGTGCAAGTCAATGGCCTGACGAGCCCGTGTTGGCTCAACACAGACCTGACTTGAGTTTTTACCTGCTCCAGTTTGGTCTTGTTGGATCCCTGCTGTCTGAGGACGTCGGTGAGGAGCAGCCAGAGCTCGGAATTGGCTGGAACGTCTGCCAACAGCTTCTCACAGATCTCTTGGGCCCGCTCGAGCCTGTTCACAAATTTTGAAATTTTCAGAGGTCAAACTTTGCTCCACAACTTGACAATTCAAACATGAGGACGCTGAAATTTGCTAAACGATCTATGATTGCAAGCAACCAGACAAAGATGGAAACACAAATGAGGTGTAGGTATTTCCGAACATCTCAAACTGGCAAAAGACATGCTATTCATGGAAACTTGGCACACAGTTACAAAATAAGCAGTTTTTTGTGAACTTTACAACTTCACATGCACAGGATAGCAATAGTTAACAGCATATTCCCTAGCCCTCAGAGGTTACTTTTGCCATAGTAATTCACAAATCTTTTTCGGGTATATTGTGGAAGCTGTAACAGAAAAATTGTTGGCTGTCTAAGTTTCTAGAGAGTGTTGAATAAAAAAGACCGACCTGCCGGTCAGTTTCTCCAGGATGACCAGATTTCGATAGAGCGGCATGCAGACACTGACGTTCTCTTCCTCTGACCTGTCTGGACTTCTGCACGACGACAGAGCTTCCTGGAAGGCCGCCCGCACACCCTCCGCCGACTGAATGGCAGAGGGAGTCCCCCACTGGAAAATCAACGGCTTCTGCAAAGTAAGAACAATACCCAGATAAAAAAAACCTACTCATGAGTACCTTTGGGACAGTTTGGCCATTCTAATTGGTCGAGAGCCCATCAAGTCACCAGCCCCAGCCAACTGATAAGGCATCGGCTGGCCATATGCCACGTCATACAGTCTGCGTCACACATGTGCCAATCTCTGTATACAAAGATTGTTTATGACGATTTCCGAGAGGAACATACCACAACATGTCTTGAGGGGTGTTTGAAAAATGCATAAAAACAAAGTTGCTGAACAAAATCACTGGAAATTTAGAATTTTTTTAACTTGCTTCCTGACACAGACAGTATTTATGAATGGGAATAAAAATGCGCCAGGCCTGTTTGTTTCACACGGATCTAGATCTCGGTCAGTGATCCTTACGATGGTTGGCACCCTCCATTAGGCTAGTTTTGATGTCTGTAAACCAACGACAGATCACTGATCATGATCAAGACCCCTGTGAAACAAATACGACCTATGACTGGCTCCTGAGAACGGATACTCCAATGGAATTCCTCGCCTGCAGCTCTGGACATCATCGATGTCCGATGTCCTGACTGGTCTTAAACTAAAGACTGACCAAACACATATTTATTCCCTTCTCAAAAGTTCCACGGCAAGGGGTATAATACAAGATAAAGCATGCTTCTCAAAGGCCTGGAAAACTCTGCCCTTTCAACCTTACCTCGGAAGTAAAATGTGACCCCTGACCTTTCAACCTGATAAAAACAGTGACCCCTCAACCCTACCTTGGAGACGATGTGACCCAGTCCGCTGCCTGTACAGTCAAAGAGATGTGACGGCAGGCGCTGGTACTCCAGCATGTGGATGTAAACCAGCCAGGCCAAGCAGCGATCTTCTGGGGTGAGGAATCGCAACAGAGCATCCCTGTCTCTCAAAGCTCCCTGAATAAGAAAAAAAAAAAATCCCTTCCAGTCAACTTTGATATCTCTTGATCACAAAAACACATGACTTTTTCAGCTGATTTTGTATCAAGAGATAATTAATAATTCATTAGCCTAAGAGAGTCAGCTGACAAACTTCAGCCAATCAACAGCTTGGGGGTTCTCCTTGTGGCACAGGACAGGACCATGGGTTCTAAAAAGTGGTCTCAATTCGTCTGAAGTGGAGTCTGGTAAAGAGATGACATTAAGACGATCAAGAACCGCGCTACCTAAGTGAGTGTTGTACCCAAGTGAGTGTTGTACCCAAGTGAGTGTTGTACCCAAGTGAGTATTGGTTTTTTTTGTTTATGTGGGAATTCCATGAACAGTTTCCTGGAACATAAAAAAATCTATCCATCACACGGCAGGAACCCAACGCTACATTCCTTGTACTTCAACTTTCAGGTGGTGCACAACCCTAGGTAAGCAATACAGACAAAAAAGCCTAACGTTCTTCAAACATTCCCCGACCCTCCTAGTGGATATGAACCAGGTGGGTGGATTAGGGAATGCAGAATAACTTGACCAAATAATACGACTCGAAATGATCCATTTAGTGCTGCAGCCAAACCGCCGAACTGAACAAAAATAGTCGAACGTGGCACTTTCAAACCGAACCGAACCAAACTGGTCGGTTGAGATATTTGGCTTTAATATAGCATGACATTGATAGCGCATGGATTGTAATGCACGCAAGAAAACGTGATAACAAAGCAAACACAACAAAAAACGGATAACGAGTCGTGCTACACAGGTGCTCGGCACATATGGGTGTACGCACCTACTATAAATGTACTGTACATGTCAGTACATACATGTACGGTAAACTTTTGATGGCCACGCATCACGCGATGGTTGTAAAAAGCACGTGGTGAGAATTCACTCATAATCAACTGAGAACATGCAACGTATGGCACTTCCACTGCACAACAGAAAAAAATTATCTTCACATCGCAGTTGCTCGTGGATAGGGATGGAGAGGAGATTCATTGCTTGCATTAACGTATTTTACGCATAGAAGTTCTACATATGGCACGTTCGTTCATAGCATGCTCTCGACGTCTCAATGTGCATTATGTGTCCGAACCCGAACCGAAGTTTGGCCAAACATTTCTGAACTGTGTCCCAACCGAACCGAACCTTGGCACCTACTTGCAGCACTAGATTAATTGACTAACTGCAGCAGCCCTGACCTGAAGCATCGACAGCGAGGCCTTCACCCTCCTGGTCATGACGTACAGCTGTACTCGATACAACAACGCCTCTAGCAGACGGTGGGATCCCTGCGCGGTCATCTCCTTGGCCTGTTGGCTCTGCACAAAGGCCAGCATCCGTTCACAGGTAGAATCCTTGGATGGGAAGCTCTCCTCGAAGCTGAGACACTGTGGGGAAGGAGGAAGTCCTGTAAACACGGTCCCAGAACCTTCAAAATCTGACAAGAAGTTCAAGGCTTGGGCTAGGTGCGGGGCTCCCATAGGAATCCCCAAACCAATTTCCAGGACATCTCGGGGACTTTCCAAGACTAAAATATGACACTTTAAACAACATTCAACACCCTTTTGCAGAGAAAAGTTCATTGGTATTATGAACAGGAAGACAACAGAATTCAGGAAACCCTTTTTTCCTTCTTTTCCATGACTTTCCAGGACAACTTTTTCCAAAGATTTTTCAGGATTTCTATCAGAAACATGCGAGTGAAAGTTGTGGTAGAGAGAAGGTTCAATTGGCTTTGTTCAGTGATGGGTTTTGTAGGATTTTGTAGGATTGAAGACGGTTCCTTGCATAATCCATCACAAAAAAAAAAATATGAACAGTGTTGAGGTCCAGTCCATTCTGCTCTAGGCTGGAGTATTCTTAAACTCACCTGCCAGTACAAGTCGTAGCTGGGCGCAAACTGCAGGGCCTGCTGGCAGAGCTCGGACAGGTCCCCGTGGTCTTCCCGCTGGGAGTAGAGAAGGAGATACTGCAGCCACAGCTCCGAGCTGGACTGGTTGGACTCCAGACCTCGGGACAAGGCGTTGAGTCCTCGATCAATGTCCTGGTCCTCGCTGATGGCAAGCAAATGTTCCGCAAGCATGTTCAACCCAGAATGCATATAGTAGGTAGTTGTGTAGATCACTCATATGAACAAGTTTTACTAAGCACCATAAGCACAAAAGGCTGTTAGCTAAAAATCTTCTACACTGAAAGGGCGTCATTTCTTGTTTGTTTTATGAATTAGACATATTCCAAACATCACACCTAACACCATTTCGCACTCAAACTTTAAAAACAAAATTGAAGTTGAAAAAACATTTTTTTCCATTAAAACTAAGACACATGACTCACAATGTCCACGCGGTGTGATAAGTCACTTTGTCATGCGGTGTGATAAGTCACTTTGTCAACGCGGTGTGATAAGCCACTTTGTCAACGCGGTGTGATAAGTCACTTTATCAACCGGTGTGATAAGTCACTTTGTCAACACGGTGTGATAAGTCACTTTGTCAACACGGTATGATAAGTCACTTTGTCAACGCGGTGTGATAAGTCACTTTGTCAA